TGATTTTTTGATTTATTGTAGAGATGAGGTCTCGCCGCCCAGGCGGGTCTCGAACCCGCGGGCTCAGGCCATCCACTCACCTCAGCCTCCCAAAGGCGCGGGATGACAGGCTGAGCCACCGAGCCTGGCTTGTCTCATCTTTTTTAAGTCTCAATTTAGAGAGTATTGTTTTATACAGATGGTTGTTTAGATTCATCTGCTTTCCCATGTCATTGCCTAACGTTATCGCATTTCACATCTTTCTTTTTCCTTTCTTCCTATAACAGCTTTACTGAGATATAGTTTATGCACCTTGCAGTTTACCCCTTTAAATTGTACAGTGCAGTGGTTTCTGCCGAGTAATGTGCAGCCATTACCACAGTCAGTTTTAGACAACTTTCATTAAAAACCCTAACCCATTGTCTCCTCATCCCCCCAGGCCAAGGCAACCACCTTTCTACTTTTTATAGACTTGGCTATTCCAGATATTGACTATTAATGGAGTAAATTTTTTTTTGAATTGGTGTCTCCATCGCTCAGGCTGGAGTGCAAGTGGCACGTTCATGGCCACCCCAGTGTTGACCTGTTGGGCTCAGGCAGTCCTTTTGCCTCAGCCTTCCAAGCCAGAACTACAGGCGCACACTACCACGCCTGGCTAATTTTTATTGGTTGTAGAGATGAGGTCTTGCCAGGTTGCCCAGGCTGTTCTCGAACCCATGGGCTCAGGCAGTCCCCTCACCTCGGCCTCCCAAAGTGCTGGGATTACAGGCTTGAGCCACTGTGCCTGGCCGGAATAACTTAATGTGTGTTCCTTTGTGACTGGCTTCTTTCGCTTAGCGTAACATCTTCCGTGTCCATCCATGTTGTAGCATGTGTAGGTGCTTTATTTACTTTTCTTGGCTCAGTAATATTCCATGCATGGACATATCCATTCCTCAGTTGGCAGACACTTGGATTGTTTCCGCTTTTGGCTATTCTGATCAAGGCAGCTGTTAGTATTTGTGCACAAGTGTTTGCACGGACATACGTTCTTACTATCTGGGACATACAAGGTCTGACAATTAAGTCCATGAACCTGCCACCATGTGCTCCTGTTGGTAGCACTGCACAAACAGCTCGGCAAGGTTTCATAGCCTTGGTATGTCAGTGTCTCGCAGTGGCTTTCATGATGTGTGGCGGTGTCTTGCTGAGTGGTGTTCATTATTGTTGCGTGCTTTTGTGTGCTGTCGTGAGAATGTCAGGGCTTGAGTTAGAGCAACAAACCAGTATTAAATTTCTTATTAAACTTGGCAAGAGTGGAAGTGAAATCAGGGATGTGAGTCCAGTTTATGGCGACGATGCCATGAAGAAAATGGCAGTGAAAAGTAGGAGCGTCCAAGCGAATCCGATGCTTATCCAAGGGGCAAGAAAGCGCCCCTGATGAAGAGAAGTCAGGACGAATCGTCATGCGCAGAACTGGCGAGAACGCGGCAAACGTGTGTCGACTTGTGCATCACAATCCTCAGCTGGCTGGGAGAAGCAGAGCAGACCAGGTGGACATCGACGGAGAAACAGGAAGATCTTCACTGAAAAACGCTGTGTGCAAAAGTGGCCCTTCAAGGAGCTCTCGCCTCACGACAGCGCACAGCTCACACAGCACCGTGAGGACGTTTTAGCCAGTAAACAAATCGCTGTATTGGAGGACCCTCCCTGCTCACCTGATCTGGCCCCCAGTGGCTTTTTTCTTTACCTGAAGATAAAGGAAATACTGAAAGGAAGATATTTTGATGGTGTCCAGGACATCAAGGGGCATGTGGCCACAGCTCTGATGGCCATTCCAGAAAAAGAGTGCCCAAACTGCTTTGACAGGCGGACGAGGCACCGGCGTCAGCACATAGCTCCCCAGGGGGAATACTTCGGCGGTGACTGCAGTGATACTCAGCCATGGGACACAGGCACTTTTTCTAGGATGAGTTCGTGAAGTACTCATGATGCTAGGTCAGATGTCAACTTTATAATTAATGTCTGAGGACCTGCCAGACTGTCTTCCCAAACTGCTGTACAGTTCTATCTTTGCAGTAAGAGTGTATGACGATTCCCCTCCGTATCCATCCTCACCGGCACTGGTTATTGCTAGTCCTTTTGATTTTCACTGTCCGCAAGGGTATGCAGTGGTTTCTTGTCATGGTTTCGGTTTGCATTTCTCTGAATACTGAGAGCATTTTTCCGTGTGCTTTTTGCCCATTTGTATATCTTCTCTGGAGTAATGTCCATTCAGATCTTTTGCTCAGATTTTTAGTTGTTATTTGTCTTCTTTTTAAGAATTATCTGTGTATTCTGGGTACTAGACCCTTATCAGATATATGATTGGCAAGTATTTTCTTCCATTCTTTTAGTTGTCTTTTTACTTTCTTGATAGTGTCTTTGTGCATTTTTAGTTTTGATGAAGTCCAGTTTACCTATTTTTTAAGTTGTTTATGCTGTTGGTGTCATATCTAAGAATTCATTATGAATAAATCTAGGGTCATAAATACTTTCCCCTATGTTTCCTCTAAGAGCTTTATGGTTTTAGTTCTTACATTTAGGTCTTTGATCCATTTTGAACTAATTTGTGTATATGACTTGAGGTAGGGGGTCCAGCGTCATTTTTTTACATGTAGGTATTCACTTGTCTTGGCACCATTTGTTAAAGAGACAATTTTCCCCACTGAACGGTTTTGACATCCTTCTACAATATCAGCCCACCACAGATGTATGGGTTTATTTCTAGGTGCTCAGTTGGGTTTTATTGATCCATATGTGTATACTTATGCCAGTACTCTGTCTCAATTATTGTCGCTTTTTAGTAAGTTTTGAAATGGGAAAGTGTGAATTCTTCCACTTTGTTCTTTTTAAAGATTGTTTTGGCTCTTTGGATCCCTTTGTAATTCCATATGAGTTTTGGAATCAGCTTCCCGATTTCTACAAGGAAGTCAGCTGGGATTCTAATAGGGATTGTTGGGAATCTGTGATCGCTTTGGGAAGTACATCTTTGATCTGTGAACATAGGATGTTTTCGCATTTATTTAGATGCTTATTTTCTTTCAGCAATTACTTAGTTTTTAGAGCACAAAGGAAGGTTTTATACTTTTGTTAAATTTATTCCTAAATATTTTATTATTTTTGATACTATTGTAAATGGAATTGTTTTCTTGATGCCATTTTTGGGTTACTCATTGCAAGTGTATAGAAATACAATTTGTTTTTTAAATTTTTTTCTTTTTGAGTCGGAGACTGTGTTGCCCAGGCTGGAGTGTATTGACCTGCTGGGCTCAGGTGATCCTTCGGCCTCAGCCTTCCAAGAAACTGGAACCACAGGCATGTGCTACTATGCCCAGCTAATTTTTAAAAAATTTATTGTAGAGATGAGCTCCTGCCAAGTTGCCCAGGCTGGTCTCAAACCCCTGGGCTCAGGCAGTCCTCTTGCCTCTGCCTCCCTAAGTGCTGGGATTGCAGGTGTGAGCCACTGTGCCCAGCTACCATTTGTTTTTATATGTTGATCTTGTAGCCTAAAACCTTGCTGAATTTATTTGTTAGTTCTAATAGTTTTTTGGTGAATTCCTTAGGATTCTCTTTAAGGGTATTTCTGAATAGAGGTAGATTGCTTGTTTCCCAATCCGGATGCCTTTGATGACTTTCTCTGGTGTTACTGCCCTAACTTGAACCTCTAGTACAGTGTTGACCAGAAGTGGCAAGAGTGGACACTCCTGACGTGTTCTTAACCTTCCAAGGACAGTCTTTCACCATCATGCATGATGTTAGCTGTGGGAATTTTTGTAGATGTCCTTTGCCAGGTTGGAAAAGGTCCCTTTACTTCCTGATGTGTGGCTGTTATGAAGCAGTGTCAGGTGCCTTTTCTGTATCACTAGAGGTTATCATGTGGTTTTTGTCCTTCATTCTGTGTAATGTGTATTATATAAGTTTATGTTGGGATGTTGAAAACCAACCTTGCATTCTTGGGATAAGTTCCACTTGTGCATGGTATGTGATCCTTCTTCTATGTTGCAGGATTCAATTTGCTTTTATTTTCTTAAGGATTTTCGCATTTGTATTCATGAGTGAATGGTCTGTAGATTTATTTTCTTGTGATGTCTTTGTTTTTGATATTAGGGTAACACTGGCCTCAAAAAATGAGTTGGCAAGTGTTCCAGCCTCTTCTGTTTTTTGGGAGAGTTTGAGAATAATTGGTGTTAATTATTCTTTAAATATTTGTAACAGTCCATCTAAATCTGGGCTTTTCCTTGTGGGCAGTTTTTAAATTCTTTTTTTCCATCTCTTGTTATAGGTCTAATAATTTGTTTCTTTTTGAGTCAGTTTTGGTTGTTTGTGTCTTTTTAGGAGAAAATTGACCATTTTTTATAAGTTACCTTAATTTCTTGACCGACAGCTGTTTACCGTTTTCCGGAATCTTCGTGAAGAATATCCTTTAGATGTTAAATTAGTTTAGGGGCCTTTTTTGGTTGATTCTCTTTGTACCTAAATATATTCATATTTTATCCAGAGTCTTGAAAATCAGTTTTTCCCAGGCACAAAGAGGGATTGAGTTTTGTTTTTCTTATAGCATTTAAATATGTGACACGATATTTTCTGACCGATATTGCTGCTGATATCTTCTTTTTTTTTATTTTTTTTTTGAGTTGGAGTCTCTCATGCTGTCGCCCAGACTGGAGTGCAGTGGCCGCTCCCGGCCACCGCAGCCTCGACCTGCTGGGCTCCGGCGATCCTTCCGCCTCAGCCTTCCGAGTCACCAGAACTACAGGCACGCGCTACCGTGCCTGGCTAATTTTTGATTATTGTAGAGATGAGGTCTCACCAAGTTACCCAGGCGGGTCTCGAACCCGCAGGCTCAGGCAGTCCACTCACCTCAACCTCCCAAGGCGCGGGATTACAGGCTGAGCCACTGAGCCTGGCTGCTGTTGATATCTTCTGTGAGTCTTTCCTCAGGAGGTGATCTGGCTGCTTCCAAAATCGTCTCTCCCTCTCTTGTTATTTGACATATTAATGCAGTGGGATTAGGTGTGTCCCTGTTTGGTGTATGTTGAGCTTTCTCTATTTGTGGAGTTATGTCTGTCATTTCTGGAAGATTCTCAGCCCTTCTGTCCTCAAGCATTTTCTCCTCCATTGTCACGTTCTCTTCTTTTGAAACTCTAATTAGGCATATGCCAGACCTTATTTAATCTTCCACATGTCTTAGCTACGCTTTTTGTGTTACATTTCCTGGATTTTTTTTTTTTTTACTCTATCCTCCATGGAGTTTTCCTTCTTAATAGCTGTATTTTTAATTGCTGAAACTTATGTTTGGTTCATTATCATATCTCCTTAGTATTTTTTGCTAGTTCCTCGTGGGTTGCCATTTAAAAATTCCATCTTGTATCTCTTTAAGCAGTTTATGAAGTTATTTTATACTCTGCATCTAGTGTCAGATGCAATACAACCTCAGCAGTAAAAGAAAGAGAATCTCCTGTTATTTTGACTGACTCCTCCATGTTGCCTTGTTTGATTTCATTTGTCTGGCGGATCGCTGGCTCTTGGTCTGTAGGAGTCCTGGAGACCCAGATGGTGGGTGCCTTCCTCTAGTGAGGATGGGGGCCCTTGGCTTAAGGGAGCGTCTCGGGTTGAGATCCCGTGTCCGCGGCTCATCCTAGCAGCAGTGCTGACAGTCACAGGGTGGCTTGGGCTTCCCGGCTGCTTCTGCTCGGAACTCTAGTTTCAGCTCTTTTGGGGTGGGTGCTCAGAGGAGGGGTTGGGTGCGGGCTTTCCTTACCTTTGGCAAGCCCGACAGTCTGTCAAAGGAAACGGGGACAGGGATCTAGTTGTTTTGTGTGGGAGGCTCCCAGCTGTCCTCCACAATCCCGTCTCCCCTTTGGTGTGGTCATGTTATTACGCATACTTGGGTAATTGTGATTTGTTTCTGTTAAAAGTAATGTCGATGTCCACACTTTTGTGCTTTCACCCTTGCAAGCACCGGGTGAGATCGCTTCTTAGAAGTCAAGTTGCAAGGCTGTTGGGGCCAGAGGAGTGAGCGTGTGTAGCTTCTGTAGATCCTGCAAAACAGTTTTGCCGGCTTGCTTTCCTCCCAAGAGGCTAGGAGCAGCCTGTGCTGCGCGCCACCACTTCTCCACACTCGGGTGTAGTCTGGTGGATTTTAGCCATTCTGGCGAGTGTGTGGTGCTGTCTTGTGGCAGTAAGGTGAAGCACTCGTTCATGTTTGTTGGTTTTTCTCTTTTGTGAAGTTTTTTTTTTTTTTGAGTTGGAGTCTCACTCTGTCGCCCAGACTGGAGTGCGGTGGCTCGATCCTTCCGCCTCAGCCTTCCGAGGAGCCGGAATTACAGGCGCGCGCTACCACGCCTGGCTGATTTTTTGATTTATTGTAGAGATGAGGTCTCGCTGCCCAGGCGGGTCTCGAACCCGCGGGCTCAGGCAATCCACTCACCTCAGCCTCCCAAAGGCGCAGGATGACAGGCTGAGCCACCGAGCCCGGCTTTTGTGAAGTTTTAAAGTCAAAATTTACGTCTCTCACCCAGTTTTTTGTGGTTGTCTTTGGTTTTTGTTTTTTCTGATTTGAAGGAGTTTTTGATATATTCTGGATAGAAGCTCCTGGTCAGTTATATGTGCTGCATGT